GATGGGACATGAATAAAAGCTCTCCAGACTTTTGCATGGGTCTTGACATTTGATAGGACCTGAAGGTGTCAAATGAGAGAATAAGGTTCTTCTAGGAGAAGCAACATCACAGGCAAAGTGTGGAAATTATGAAGTATTCTAAGAATGGCGTGGTACAGTATGGTGTAGCCAAAGTGCAAAGTCAATGAATGGCAGGAGGCTGAAAGAGGAGAGAACTGACAAAGGCTGGTGCCTGGTTACAGAGCTCCTTCAATGCTATGCTCAAGAATTTGGACAGCAGTTCATAGACACTAGACTCCTCCAGTGGTTTAGAGCAGCAGAGAGCTCATGACCAGATTTATGTTTTAGAAAGAAAGATTACTGGAGAGCAACACATAGGATCCATTGGACCAGTTGGCGAGGGAAAACAGAGTAACTTGAAGACCACCCCAGGGCTCTGAGAGTGAAGAAACAGGGGTTTGATCTAAGCCAGTGACTGTGGGAATGGAAAGAACTAGACAGATCTGAATACTTTTCATAGATTTAAATTAGCAATTTTGAAGGACTAATTAGGTGATGGAAAGAGAAGAATCCAAGAAGATACCACCATCCTTTCCAGGATGGATGCAACTCTCAATCATAAAGAAACACAGAAATCCCACTATGAAAAAATAAAATTGGCAGTGCAACAGTTTTGAAGCCAGGTTTCAGGGATGAGCCACAAACTTAATCATGCACAATCTCATTTCCATTTGGGGAATTGCAGAATATCCTCGTGGAGCAGCTGTACATGTGTGTGGAGTTCCTTTGGAAATCTGAGCGATATGAACTCATTGCTGATGTCAACAAACCCATCATTGCTGTCTTTGAGAAGCAGAGAGACTTCAAAGTATGTGTTCTAAACCTAGAAGTTGGTTCACATGTCGTTTAAAAGTAGAAACTCCCTATTTTTTTAAGCCAGCATCATCTTCATGAAACCCTTTGTTTCTGGTTTCAGAAATTATCGGATCTCTACTACGACATTCATCGGTCGTACCTAAAGGTCGCAGAGGTGGTGAATTCGGAAAAGCGGCTTTTTGGCCGCTTCTATCGTGTGGCATTTTATGGACAGGTAAGTTCCTTACGAGCAGCATGGCCTCTAAGTTCTGTTGAGCATTTGATTGATGTCTTTCATTCTTTACAAGACACATCTAACTACTTGTGCCAAAGGATTAAGGGAGTGGGGTGAGGGCGGGTGTGTACCTGGGTATATTTGAGTGTTTCTCCTGGTGTGAGGGTCTATATATTTGGCCAGAGGAATGTACTAAATCGGAAAAAAAAAAAAAGAGCGGAGAACTCCATAGGTCTTAATACAGATTGAGTTAAAACAATGATTTCAAACTTCTTGGAGAAAGAAAGCACTATTTTTCATCACCTTCCTTCTCCCACTTCATCTCAGAATATTTTATTATAGCTTTGCCTCATACTGGAAAGTAAAATTTAATTGAAAATTTTTTAAGAAGCAAAATCTATAACATGCCAGGAAACAAAGAATTCCTAGGGGCTCCAGCATGTCAAAGCCATGAACCTTTGACTTTAAAATCATGCATTTTCTTTTCTCTAACTTTCAACCCATCACTGTGTCTCAGCAGAGCGTGATACAGTTTTGTTGCCCACACCGCAGGTCAATATAATTTTAAAGTTATCTTCCTCAACTTACTGCACAAACAGCGAACAAGACTGAAAATAATAGCTCGCCATCACATTGGCCTGAAAGTAAAGTGAACTTCAATTGCGTATTAATTATGAGGGTCTCCGAGCAGTGCTTTAAGGGGAATAAACCCAGGCATTGTCCTGTTTCTTTCCAGGAAGGCTTGTAACACTAGTATATTTCAGCAGCCATATTTCAGACTATGATTTTATGGAGAAACATTCCATTCCTTTATTTGCACAGTTGGAATGACTCTCAGCCTTCTCAGTTCCTTTTTTTCCTCCCTTCTTGTAAAAGCACGGTTATGCAAAGCTTCTTGTTCTCTTCAGAATCTTTTAAGGCTGCAAGAGAAGGTGTCAAATCCATTCTAGATCATTCTACATCATTTCCCATTGATGTCTTTTGGAAAATGTATATTGTCCTCTAATCACCAAACGCAGCTTAAAAACTAACTTCTGAATTAATAAAAATAGCTGCTCTCTAGCTGGAAAGGAAAGTGCCACTAGGCAGCCACTTACGATAAATGAATTAGTCCAATGCAGATTTCCTCCACTGCGCAGGAGCGTCAGGACCATGGAAACAGAGAAAGCTAGTGGTGTGAGGGATAGAGATGTGGGGGATGGTCTGTAGAAAGAAGCTAAATTTAGACATTTGGGGTTCTCTGGAGAAGAGTCTGAACTGTCTAGGTGACAGTGTATATCGGGGAGAGAGGAATGCGGGGCTCTACAGGAGAAGGAAAAGGAGATGATACCTTGCAAGTCCGTGATAAACAGAAGATAAGCAATTCTTGACCTTCCTGAAACATTAGCAAGAAAAAATGGCAGAAAACCTTTTAAGGAAGGGAAGGTGGGAGTTGAGGGATCATAAGGGAAGAACAAGGGTTTCTGGGGACTGACCACAAGCTAGCTGAGGAGTACAGAGGTGGCACAGAAGATGTGTGTTCAGCAAACCTAGATTTGAGTCTACGACCCTTCAGGCGATCTTTGCAATGAAAAAGTAATAAACTACCGTTAGTAGTCTGGTCACGGAAAACAGACTGCCTACCTGAGGGTTTCTCCAACCCACATCTAAGATGCTGCTTACTAAACAGATGGAAAAGAAACAAATCAAAATCATGCTTCTTTCCGACTAGATGTTAATGCAGATGTTTGCTCTTTTCTTCTTTTGGTCTCGATTGTTGCAGGCTGTGGTAAGTTCCCCCTCTCTCTCTCCACGTGCATGCTCTAATAAGCCTCACACTCCCCTCCGTTTGGTTTTACTGAACCTTAACTTTTTTGTGCAAATGAACATTTGGTACAAAGGTGAGATAATCCTGCTTCCATTCATTTTGGAGTCATCCTGCATTTCTGGAACTAAATTATGTTTATTCCAGTTATCAGAATTACAAAAATGTATCCTTTATTTTTCACATAGAGTATCTTTCTGCACAAAGGTAGGTGTAGTCAGAAAACCTACACACACACACACGCATACACACAGATAAGTATGGAAACTGCATGTTTGAATACATTGGTAGTAGACTCAGTATTGGAGTTTGCCTGCTCATTTCAGGCCACCAGAGTTGCAGCTGATTAAGAAGAGCATGGTGGGCAGAATCTCAGAAGTTGCAGCGGTGGCCATTGGTGGGGATCTTCCCAGGGTCCCGAAAGGACCCAACCCTTTTCCAAAGGAGCATTATGAGAAACAGGGCTCTCTTTGGTGGTGAGCTCTGAGCATTCTCAGAGGTGATGGCACTAATTCCCAACACAAATGATGAGCAGTGAACTAGACCTTTACCGGGAAAGTCAGGTTAAGTCTCCTGAGATGCAGAGAGAAGCAACGTAAGAAATCTGGAGGACAAGCCGAGGGGAGGTGACACCCCAGTACCTAAAGTTCTGCAACACAGAATTTTCTTTGTGTTATTTTGACCCATATGAAACAGCCCATATTCAACCATTTTTTACTTACAAAGATGGCAAATTCATGTGTTTCAACATAATTATTGCTAAGTAAGCTGGAAAGACAAATTCTTTTGGTACCCACACACTGTCCACGGTCAGCTCTCTTCTCTGACGAGAACATACTTTTTTGTAATTCTTTAAATCCCTTTCCCAACCCATGCCATATCGGTATTTTTCTACCTTCATTTGTGAATTTGGTGTCACGAGTCTTTAACTCACCTACTAAAAGAATCCCTGAAAACCCCTGTACTAAACAGACTAGGGGGCGACGGGGAAGGACTGGGAAAGCCACTTTCAAATGACCTAACTTTGTTCTTTTTGCAGACTCCTCAGTAAGTGTGCTGATCGTGCACCTGGCTTTTTGTTTTTAATTCTGCTAGTATTCTCAGTTGTCTTTTATTCCAAAGTCCAACCTGAGCTTAAAAGGCAAGATGTTTTGTTAAATCTGCAGACCCGAGTACATGCCTAAGCATGGACTCTGCCAACTCCACCCCCAGCTGCCTTTGAACGAGGAAAGCTAATGGAGGTCTCTCTGATAACCAGGGATTTAGAGCCTCAGTCGCCATCATTCAGTGATATTCAAATACCTGTCCCACGACACCAAATGGAGAGTGTGATCGATTGGAGTCAGCAGGAGCAGACAGGGCACATCACTTCGTACTTGATGATAAAGAAATACCGGACAGACTTGAACATTCCCCCGAACGTGTACAGAATGAATGTTCTAAAGATCTAAGATAAAATCTTGAATTTCATTAGCATAATCCCCATGGTCAGAAATCATTTCTTTTTCATGATGGTACCTTATGTCCCTGTAAAATTCACCTTTTAGTATCCAATTTGATGTCTTGCAGTCATGTTACAAAGATTACAGCAATATAATAGACAATTGGCTTTTTACTTCCGCAAAGGCCTTTGGGTAAATATTTTCACATCCCCTGCAGAATAATGCTTTCATTTTACACTATTGGCTAGAGTAGTTAATATTATGTCTGCAATGAGCCAGACACTAGAAAACAAGTTGGAAACTGTTCTTTTGTGGCAAGAACTTTAAAAATGCAAGTCTTGCATAGCATGAATTTTCTAATGCAACACCTGGCATCATTGACTACGGAAATTTTCCACAGAGCAGCCTATATGGAACATCCCCAAAGTGTCCCTGAAGTATTCATTTCCAGAGTAATGAAACGCCAGAAGTGATCAAACATCAACTGTAATCAATGAAATCCTGAGGCTCTGGTATTTAGCATGAAAGCAAGCAAGCGAATGCTCATTGCATAACTTAAAACATCAGATGGCCCTGGAATGAAATGAGGGAAAGGCCTGGGGGAATTTTACTCTATTCATCAAAGGACGCAGATTCCATGATTCTCAATCATGCCTACGTGGGTGTAGATGCATCGCAGAATTTTGATAGAAGAGGGATTGGGGCGGGGGGAGGGTGCATGTGTACTGTCTGCAACCATCGTCTCCACATTAGGATGTGATACATCCTTCTGACTCCCCTCCTATATAAAGGTCACTGATATGTGTATATGTATAATATATATCAGATTGGCTTCATATTTATATGGAGCCATTTCTCTGCATCCTTGAAGGTTTCCTTCGTGTTTAACATTTAGCTTATTAGGATTTTATGACCCATCTTTTATATGGTAGATTCCTCTTTGAACCCATTCCTCTGTGAACTTTGAATCAGTGGAATGTAACGGTGGGGATGTGTATATTTGACACCCCAATAATGATCCAGGGATATTGCAAGATTCTGAAGTACCTGCAGAAACGTCTAAGAAGGAGTTAGTGATTTTAGTTGTCAGTTTATTGAAGTACATTTTAAAACAGAGTGTCGCCTTGAAGTTTCATACATCAGGTGTGTTAACTCTACCGACGCAAAGTCCTTGTTTAACTAGGCTGCATGCTGGTTCCTGACCACGGCAGATCAGGGTGTTTCACCTTGTAAAATGACATTTTGAAAAATCAAACTAGCTAGGGAAATGCAGAGGTCACATTTCTATTGCCTTGAAATGTAGTCTCCTCATCATCTTGGGGCTAAGACCAAAGAGAAGCTGCCCCTGGGTTTTCATTACCTGGTGTCCCTAAGCATAAGTCACCTAGTTCATGGCCTGAGCATTAAACTTCCTTAAGATAGTGCCCTGTGCCTCGCTGGGCTTCGCTTTGATAGTTTCTCTGGGTGAAAGGTAAGCTCGCATTCCAGTCATTGTCAGACATGCCATTTCTCTGGCTCCAAAAGCTCTTACACAATTGCTGGCAGGTAGCAGATTAGATACTACATCCTGCTGCTCCAGCACCCTTCTGTAAGGCCGTCTCAGTAAGTTTATAGCTCCATGTTCTGAAATCAATTAACTAATTCTCAATTCAGAAATTTGTTAGGGGAAAACATTCACAGCGACTGATAACTTAATTAATTAATTAATTAATTCTAGTCTTTCTGAACAATCACTTACCAAAATATCAGTAGAACTGTTACAATAAGGAAAAGTGTAGTTTACAAGCAAGAGAAAGCCTGGAGGTTTGTATTTTTAAGCACCCAAAACTCCGTTAAGCTGTTTCCCTGCATATTAGCCAAAACTCAAATTGCTTCACTGACGCAGAGTTTTTTTCTGTATTATTGTCATCATCGTCCTCCTCATCACAGATAACAACACTCACCAGTGGCCTGTGGTGTCCCTGTCCTTAGGGGCCCCTGAGTCTGAGTGTGTACTGTGTCCCGTCCTCCAGACCAAGGAGTCAGGATGAAAGAAAGTCACAGGTCATGACCAAGACCACAAAGGTCATGGTGATGACAATAAAATACTGCTTTTACCACTCCTTTTTGCTAACTCTCGATTCGGAAATTTGTTAGGGGAAAAAAATTCACAACGATAATGTCTCTTTGTGCTGGTTTTCACACCACGGTGAGAAAATCTTTTCCTGGAACTTAGAGCCATTTTTCTCATTGAAATGGAAGTTGTGGGTGTGGCTTCAGTTACTGCCCTGCGGGGATTCTGGTTGCTGGCCTCAGAAGTCTTATTTCTCTGATGTGTCAGTCTGTCAATTTTAGCCACTAACTTCTGACCTTGAATTAGACAAAACTCCACAAGACAGCAACAGAGAAAAACCTAGCAGGCCGGAAGTCATGTGGGAATGGGGCCAGACCTCACTACCCCTACAGAGTCTCGAGGGATGACAAGGAGAGGGTTTTCATGCTGTCAACACCAGACTGTCACTGTTTTAGCAATTTGGGGTCAAGCTACTCAGAATCAGCTGTGTGGGTCTTGAACATTTTTCAAAGAAATCGTTCAATAAAAACATCTTTATTAAAAGCAATGAAATCTTTTCCAATTATACTTGGTGCAAATATATCCTTTTATGATGTAAACCCTCTAAGAACTATTTCATTCATCTGTTTATGCATTTAACTAATGCACAGTGATGTTCCTCTGAAGACCAGACACTGTGCTAAACACTGGGCATGTGATGTTGAACAAGACACTCTTCCTGCCTTTAAAAAGCTCAGAGTCAGTGAGGGAAACACAAGGAAACAGGCAATTACCTGCTTAACAAGAATCGTGCTGGTGAATGTGGCCTGCCCCTTGTCTTGAGTTACAGCCCACTGATGACAGAAAGTACACTGTGCATGGTGGTCAGACTCACATGGATGGAAGTGCTCTACGAGTATAAAGCACCACACAGAGGTGACTTGTAATTATTATTTTTAGATTGCCTCCCAGTAGCCACGGGAAGAAAAATGAAAAACAGCATTGGAACATTTAACCCATTTTTTACATATATTGAATATTTTTAAATAGTCAAAAATGATCAAACAAACAAAAAGTACGGCTAAGATTCTTCGTGACCTCCAGTATCTTCACGCAGCCCTCCAGAGCCATTTCCTGGAGGTAAACTCTGCAGTCAGAAGAAGTCAGAAGCTCTTGGATTCTTAACTCCAGACCTACTATATTCTGAGTATTCTGAAGCTACGTGTATTCCAGAGGAAAAATGCCTGTGTCTCTTCAATGAGAAGGAATTATAAAGCTAGCTTCATTATCCTCAGTGGAATCTTCCCTTCCCTCTGTTTCAAACCAGATAAATACATTAATGGAGGTGAAAACCTACTTGTTCCTATGCCATAAAAATGAAGACATGATTACTTTAATTTTCAATCCTATGAGGTCTAGTTTTACAAGAATGTAAATAGTCTATTAGGGAAATAAGCTGAGTGATGAAATTGCATATAGCCGAGTTACATCAGGCCCCTGATGACATATTCAGTGTAAAATTTTCTAAAATATCAGTACTTGGAGCACAGCACATGTCATTTTTGTTATGGCTTTTCATCTAAGATGATGTGGGACGCGTATCAACCCACGTAGGTACTGTTACGCGCCCTGTAGTGTTTCCTACGCTAGTTTCAAAGACTTTAAGAAGACTTTAATAAAACGATACTGCTCTTTGAAAAATAACAAGAGTACTCCAGACTTTGTGTTCTGCACTAAAACACCACATGAGGGCATTCTTCCCCTAAAATATATGCAAGCAGGTCTCACCAGTGATTAGCTTTCATCAAGAAAAACGTGTAAGATGCCGCATGAGGTTCTTTGGCCTGGAGAGGGAGTATTTACATGAATGACTGGTTCTGACATGATATTTTGTTTCCTTCACTTGATTTTTCTCTGACAGGGTGCTAATCCGTGGCTTGGAAGGCAGTGAAGGCTGGATATGATATTTAAGTAAATGGTTTTTGTTTTGCCTGTGATTTGCAGTTGGAGGTCTCTAATAAAAATTGGTGGTTCACTGTATGTCTTCCATAGGGTTTTTTTGAAGAAGAAGAAGGCAAAGAGTATATTTATAAAGAGCCCAAGCTGACAGGTCTCTCTGAGATTTCCCAAAGACTGCTCAAACTCTACGCCGATAAATTTGGAGCAGACAATGTGAAGATAATCCAAGACTCCAATAAGGTAGGGGAAAATCAACATTTGTGCAAGTACAAAGAAATGGCTTTTAAACTGCGTTTGTTGAAATTTTAAATCTCTGCCCAACTATGCAGAGTAAACTACCTAGACTCTTTTGGGTGTTTTGGTAGTTTGTTTATTGGTTGATTGGTGGTTTCTCGGGAGGTGGGAGGAGTGTCAAAAAGCCTACACACGTTTGAGTAATGTTTAGGTAATCCTGGAAACAACTTACTATAGCCACTACCTCTTGCGTAGGCTGTTTTCATTTGGGTAGCGACCACAAGGTTAAAGTGATTGGACCTAATGGTGGACTTGGAGGAAAAAGCAAAAAAAAATACTTATTGAGTCATGGAGGTCTTCCTGGGTCATACCAATTTTGAAATCTATCCTCTGTGATAGGACCAGACTTGCCCATCAGATTGTATTAACCTGCAGACAACCAATTAACCTACTCCTGGCTCCAGAAAGCAAATACTGACATCCTCTGACGAGATTACTCAGAATCTCCCCGTACACTTTCATTTGTTACACCAGCCTCTCTTAAGCACCTACTGCATTCCAGGCCCAGACCTAGGACCTGGAGAACAGTCTCTTCGCTCCAGAGCTCACAGTTCACAGGAGGCTAAGAAGAGAAGGATGTGTGCAAACAGCTGGTTAAGTAGAACACAGTGAAGTGAAGCACAGGAGACACGGTCCACGTCTCCGAGTCATGCAGACAGAGCTCAGGACCAGGGGCTCCTTGCACACCTCATTCTTGGTTGGACAGTGCTTACAGAGGAGGGGGTGGTGATGTCTGAGCTGCAAATTGTAGGGTAGAAGGTGTTTTCTGGAAGCAAAGCTCATTCTGAGAAGCTAGCACATGCAGGGATGGGAGGAATGAAAGGGAAAAATGTGTTTGGAGGACAACAGGTCTTTGAAACACAAGTTGGGTAGAAAAATATGGCGGAAGGTGGAGCTAGAAAAGCTGGCTTGTGCTCAATTGTATGGGCCTCTACGGGCCCACGAAAGAGATCTTTTTCCCCTGGTCCTCTTGTACAAAGCTAGTATGGGGAGGGGTCCGAGCATGAGATTAGCTCACTGTGTCTGGGCAGAAGTTGTTACAAGTGTATTCACCATTCTTAACTTGAAAGGTACCACCCCGTTCCCCATAAAGATGGACAGAATTAGAACCGCTGTCACGGTGGCATGCCTCCATGCAAAGTAGAGGCAGAGCTCCCAGTGGTGCGAGAATGCCCGCTTTGGTGTGAGAACAATTGGAGTCTTCATTCCATCGAGCTGCCGCTTCCCAGCTGGTGATCCATCTTGGAGAAACTGGGCAGTCATGCTGAGTCTCCAGTTTTTAATCTGTAAAGTGGTTACAGTTATATCCAGCCTATAGTGCAATTACTAGTAGCGTTGCAGGTAGATTCCTGAGCGTCCCGAAGTCTCTGGAATTAGATAAGCTGCGGGAGGGTAGACGGATGGAGGAAACTGGAAAGTCTGGAAGTCTTCAGGGAGTCATTAGAAAAGAGCCTGAGGGTCAGCTCCTCCACCTTGAAGGGGAGCAAAAGCCGTTCTCTGGCTTTTTTGGTGGGGAGGAGGGTTAGGGGACAGCCTGTCTTTCTTGCTATTTGTCAAGCCTATTTACCAAAGCAGTTAGTTTAAAAAAAGAATAATACAGAATGATTGATTGCAGATTAGAGAAGGAATTTGAGAAATTGAAAATAAACATATCTGCAGTCATATGATAGGTAATCGGTTCGCCTGAGAAGCAGACCAGGATCCTTCCTTCCACACATTACAAGCCCACAGCCGACGGCCCCCATCTAGGGACATGGCTGAATCGTAGGGGGATAAAGAGATACTTCCCACTCTCAAGAACCCTGTATTCTAGGCACAGGTGAAGACATCCATTACAGAAAAGAAAGAAAATAAAAGCTTAAAGAATATGACATGGCCAAGTTCTTATGTTTCAAAGAGCCCCGGATACTCAGCAAGCAGGCGCCAGCGCTGCCTCTGCCACCATCTGGCTACGTGACCACAGTCCAGCCAGTCACTCTCTCTCTGGTTGCAGTTCACCCAGCTCTGACACGAGCTGGCTGCTTTCCTCCAAGGGGAGAGGGACAGCTCAGGACGCCAGGCTGAGGGAACGCAGAGCCTCCCACTTTTCTTTCAGGAGCACTTTCAGGCTCACCCTGCTTTCTTTGCCCATCATGTGTTAAAACAGGTAAACCCCAAGGATTTGGACCCCAAATACGCCTACATCCAGGTGACCTATGTCACGCCATTCTTTGAAGAAAAGGAAATGGAGGACCGGAAGACAGATTTTGAAATGCACCACAACATCAACCGCTTTGTCTTTGAGACGCCCTTCACGCTGTCGGGCAAGAAGCACGGGGGCGTGGAGGAGCAGTGCAAGCGGAGGACGGTCCTGACAAGTAGGTGCAGACCCGCAGGGCGGCCTGTTCCCTCCGTTAGGCTGGATGCGTGGAAATCAAGACATCTCAGTCCCGCAGACAAGTACCCAGCATGTGCTAACTTGGCCACGTGTGCCGGGAAGCGCAGATTTCCTCTTGTTTGTTCTCGTTCAGGAGGGGGACCCTTGACCAGTCAACCGGGACAGAAGCTGTCATAGAGTCACTTTGCGTACCTCTTCCCTTTAGATTGTCCAGTCGTGAAGGTCATGGCGTCGGTGTCTTGGGAAAGCACTCTGAGCTTTCCCTCCCTCTCTCCCTGTACCTGCCCTCAGTTCCTGCAGGGTTCACTGCTCTCAGAATTGTAGGCTTTGGGGCAAGATTCTAAACCACTCGGGAATTCGGCTTCCCCATCTGTAAAATGAATGGAAGAGACGGCCTTCCGCGTCCCTTCCAGTACCAGCTGGATCAGTTCCATGAGCTGGCCTTCCTTTCACTGACTCAGCAAACACTGGATAGACGCCTCCAGGCGTTGGGCACTGTTCTGACAGTTCAGGCAAATCAAACACCATGCTTGCCTTCAAGGTGCCCACCGCCGGGTCGGAGAGAGAGCCAGGCAGAGTGAGAATTTCAGGTGAGCCCAGCCTGAGAGATGAAAGGCGGTCTTAGGGCAGACGGAGGCGGGAGGGGAGCACAGGTCGCCGAACCAATGTTACCTAAGCCGCCTGCGGAGGTGAGCTGGGCAGGATGATGCAGGACATGGGGAGCAGTGACCTCCGAACCGCAGGGAACATTCACCTTCCATAAACTTTTCCAGAACTTTCGCAATAAAAAAAACCTACCACAAATGTACTATATGCTACTCAGTATCTGTGTGAGCACTCTTTATTGTGGTTTAGTGCGGTTTTACTTGAATTATAAGTTGCGGTGGTAGCTTTCATCTTTTCAGTGTTTTGAGACTCTGAAGGTCTAGTCCAGCCTTGGGAGCCAGGGCACGTTGGCTAGTGGAGTGTGGGAGAACATGCCAGGAGACAGTAGCTGGGGCAAAACAAAGAGGTGTGGGAGAGCATGGCACACGGCAGGAGAAGTAACCCACAGACACAGAAAACACACAGGATGCAATGTTCTGCACGCAAAGGAAAGATACCGGATCGTTCTGATCGTCAAGGGACCCCTTGACTCTTCCGCAACCCTTGACCTCTAAATGCTCCTGTGTTGTTTTTGTGCAGCCAGTCACTTGTTCCCCTACGTGAAGAAGAGGATACAGGTCGTCAGCCAGTCGAGCACGGAACTGAATCCTATTGAAGTGGCGATTGATGAAATGTCCAAGAAGGTTTCTGAGCTCAATCAGCTTTGCACAATGGAGGAAGTGGACATGATCAGACTGCAGCTCAAACTTCAAGGAAGCGTCAGCGTGAAGGTAGGCATTGCCCAGAGCTGAGATGCACATGGCCGGTGGAACCTGGTACCCAACGCCCCTTGAAATTTGTTAACAAAGAGTATAAGAGACATTTTTCTATTTGTGATATCATCCAACACCTTCGTCTGAGTCTTTACAATTTTGTTTCTTTGTAAATGCACGTGGATGGCGCCAAACACCTGGAGATAAGCCCTCCTTGAGTTTAGTTGAAATGAAATTTCTTCTTCCTCAGCCCTCCTTTCCCATCGTCTCTGGAGAAACTCTGTTCTATAATCTAAATTCTAACAAATGAGGTAATGAATGAATAAGCACGGCTCTCAGCTAAGTATCTGTCACTAAGAGCCTTCTAAAACTGTTCAGAAACAAATTTTTTAAATGTTTATTAGTTCATAAAACGTGCATCAGTATTTGTCCAACTGTCAGGGTCCCAAGAGGAAACAGATGGCCGGCTCACAGTGGGTGACTGAAGAAAGTATAATAAAGAGATGATGTGAAAAAGTATAAGCAGTATTTAGGAAAACCAGAGGACGGACACCAGGGCTAGTTAGGCTGAGGGGCTGTGGCCCTCCCAGGACTTGGAGACTCAGGGGAGAGAAGAGTCAGTGGAGGCAGAGAGAGCTGGGAAAGCCAGCTGATGATCGACAGGCAGACAGACATGGTGTGTGCGGGAGGACGCAAGCAGGAAGCCCTGAGCCCAGATACCCTCGCAGAGCTGAGACTGGGGTGCAGCCAGTGAGGCACTCACCTTGGGCACAACATTTAAGGGGGCAGCAAAAACTCAGCAATCAAGATAAAATATCTTTTTTTTAATTGAAGCCTAGTTGGTTTGCAATGTTGTATTAATCTCTGGTGTACAGCATAGTGATTCAGTTATATGTATATATATATTCCTTTTCATATTCTTTTTCATTATAAACCATTATAAGGTATTGAATATAATTCCCTGTGCTGTGTACTAGAGCACAGAAGGAGTTGTTTATCTATTTTATATATAGTAGTGTGTATCTGCAAATCCCAAACTCCCAATTTATCCCTCCACCCCCAAGAGAAAAGAATATCTTAGTGCAATATTTTTAAAAATTGAAAGGAAACCTTCCAAAATCCATAATGAGCAAAATATTAAAATTTTAAATAAAGGCATACGAGAAACAGTGCCACGCAGAGCTATGTGGGAGCCTGAGGCCAAAGGAAAGCTGAGTAACGTTGATCCTGACACTGACCCGGCCCTCCTCTTTCCTGCCCACCTCTTGTCTGGGTCCCCATAGCTGACTCAAAATAATAATAAAAATAATGATAAATTTTTAAAGGTAAAAGAGCCAATGTTATACTCCCAGTGGGACAGCCTTCCTCAGCACATAGGTAAGCAGAGGGAAGTGGAGATCGGATCTGGAGAAATAAAGCAAAGCATTGAATACTGTTGACCCATTCCGCCACACTGGACTCACCTGGCAGGCACAGAAATCGGAAGATGCCTCAAATACAGTATTGGCTTCCTTCTTTTTTTTACCTTATTCCTGCCAAGCCCCACAGTCACATAGAAAGGCTCCAAGCCCTGAAGAATACAGACTCCTCTGCGCACGTGTGTGAGCGTGAATAGGACATGGCATTGTGGAGTCCCTCAGCAGGCTGACCAGTGCCTCCTTGGGCCAGAATCTCAGCCAGGCTCTCAAGCGAGATGCAAGAAAAAGGGTTCCCAGGGTGGTGCCTCGACCACTACCACCGTGGAATGTCCCTTATTAATAGTTACGTGTTTGCTTGCATGTTCATAGGGGAAAAAAGTAACTAGCTCATCAGATGTTTGACTTCACAGATGTTAAGTTTATTGCAGTAAATAAAGGTGAGTCTAGTTTTCAAAATTATTTAGAAAATGAGTACACTGGAAATTGACGCAACATTGTAAACTGACTATACTTCAACAACAACAAAGAAAGGCAAGAAGGGTGCAGGCAGAAAGGGGGACACAGCAAAAACTGAAATGGTGGGAAGTTTGGGAAGGATGGCAGTGATGTGCGGCGCTCAGATGCATCCATTAGTAGCTCATCGACTAGTGGGAGGACAGCAGAGGGGACAGGTAACAAATGAGCAGACTGCAGGCGATGCGAGAGAACTGGGGTTCCATCCCGTGGGTGCCACTCCTTCTGGCTGCAGAGAAGGCCTCCCGGAGGAGGTGACACCATCAGCATCCAGTTCTCTTCTCCCCATTAGGTTAATGCCGGGCCCATGGCCTACGCACGAGCTTTCCTTGAAGAAACCAATGCAAAGAAATATCCTGACAACCAAGTAAAACTTTTGAAGGAAATCTTCAGGTAAGTTTTTCCTTGTGGCGATGTCCCCCCTTGAGTTCCTTCAGACAGGGCGTCTTCAATTGCTCAGGAAGCCATCTGAGCCACCCTGACTCTGACTTGCCACTTTCTGTAGCTGCTTGTTACAAATGCGCTTCCTACTGTCTCAAAAGGCAATTTGCAGATGCGTGTGGGCAGGCCCTGGACGTGAATGAGCGCCTCATCAAGGAGGACCAGCTGGAGTACCAGGAGGAGCTGAGGTCCCACTATAAGGACATGCTCAGCGAGCTCTCGGCAATCATGAATGAGCAGGTGAGGCTTTGCCCGGGTGGCCCGCGCGGTCCATTCATAGAAAGCGCCCATTTGATCCCCAGTGCCAGAAGGACCGGAAAGAATCTCTTTTTTTTTTTCTTGCTGCTAGTATTATTGTACTTACACAAGCACCATGTTTCTGAGCTGTTCTCTCCCCCAGGCACAACATCCCATCCCTCAAAGGAGAGATCAGGTTGGGGAAAATCCATAGGAAAACAAGATGAGAACCCAGGTGCTTTCCAGTTTTCAGAGATGTTTATCCAAACCGTGTGCGTTGATCTTCTAGAGCCAGTGGCACCTGTTAGACACCACAACATTGGGTGGCATTGACATAGAGCTTCCTGCCACTCCCATCACCCTGATTGAGCAGTTCACAACCCCTAGGCTGGGATGTGGAGGTCCACAGTTCTGCCACTAGGGGTCTCTGCACCATACTCAGGAAGAACACCAGGACTAGGGTCAAGGTCTTTGATGGTCAAGACTGGATCTCTGGAAGATGGAATTCGGATAAAACTCAATCCCCCCCACTACAAGCAAGTCATCCGTGATTTCTGGCACGTAGTCGGTATATTCTGTAAGACTGTACACAAGATGTTGACATTCAGGAATCACAGTACTTTTGGGGGGCACTGGGAATCAAGCGATCAAAAGCCAAGTTCTGCTTTTTTTGGCTTTCTTCCCAGCATCCATCAGCCCTCACACTCTACCTGGACATACCATCACCCATGGTCCCCTCCAAGAGTTCTTTACAGAAAAGTGAGGGGGAGAACTTGCACTGACCTCCCAACAGGGCCTCATGCACAGTAGCCTTTCATTAAATATTAATTCCCTTTCCCTTCCTTCAGCAGCCTAGTATTATAACCCTATTCACAAAACGTGAAATGTGTCATACACATCTTTTATTCTAGTTGCATTTCCCATATGTTTCTTTTTTCATCTTTCCCATCTCCTTCCACCCACATTTTAAACTCTCCATAGCAGCTAGAGAAAGAAATGCATAATTGACTTATGATGCAAAGATTAAATCTCCCTGGATAGGATTCCTAGAGGAGACAGTATCAGTTAGGGGTTGCTCAGGGGTAATGGAAATTAAATATTCAGGAGCAATGCCTTGATAGCGTGGGGAAATTATAAATCTGAGAGTGAAACAAAAAGAACCAACAGTGGATCTGAAAATTGGAAAAAGTGGCAAAGAAGTGCTTGTTTCCAACTGTAAATTGTACCTGGCCTTGAAACTTTGGGCAAAAATGCTTCTCTCTTTTTTTCCTGGCAGCTCTGTCGCGGTCCATGTTTATACAGCTTCTGCTCCTCTGTGTCTAGTATTTCCCTCAGTACTGTAAGCAAAAGTGGTATGTTTTTCTTTCCTTATGTCTATTCTGTCCTTTGTGGCCTTCTGGTCTACCTGTTCATTTTCGCCAGACACTTCCATAGTGACCAGTGTTCTCTAAGTGTTTATTTAATTAGAACAACTTTATTTCTATTTCAAGGTAGGTTGATATGAAAAAAAAAAGCTTACTAAAATCAAAAAGCTAAAGTGAACAA